ACAAGACAAAGAAAAAGCATCCAGACTGGTAAGGAAGAAGTAAGATTGTGACTATTTGCAGATGACATGATACAATATATTTAGAAAACCCTAAATGCTCCACCAAAAACTATTAGAACCATAAATGAATTCTGTAAAACTGCAGGATACGAAGTCAATATACAGAAATTTGGTGCATTTCTATACACTAATAACAAACTATTAGAAACAGAAATTGAGAAAACAATCCCATTTAAAACTGTATCAAAGGGATAAAATACCCAGAAAAAAATCTAACCAAGGAGGTGAAAGACCTGTATTCTGCAAACTATAAGACATTGATGAAAGAAATTGAAGATGACATAAATAAATGGAAAGATACACCATGCTCATGGATTGGAGGAATTAATATTGCTAAAATGTCCATACTACCCAAAGCAATCTGCAAATTCAGTGTAATATCTATCAAAATTTCAATGGCATTTTTCATAGAACTAGAATAAATAATCCTATAATTTGCATGTAACCGTAAAAAAGCCCAAATAGTCAAAGCAATTTGAGAAAGAACAAAGCTATGGGCATCACACTCCCTCATTTCAAACTATAATACAAGGTACCATAATCAAAATAGTACTGGCACACGCACACATGTACACACACAAACATAGATCAATGGAATCAATAAATGTAAGACTTGAAATCATAAAACTCCTAGAAGGAAACACAGGCAATAAACTCTTAGACATTGGTCTTAGCAGTTTTTTTCTGGATATGTCTCCCCAAGTGAGGGAAACAAAAGCAAAAACTAACTAAAAAGCTCTTGCACAATGTAGGAAACCATCAGGAAAATATAAAGGCAACTTAAAGAATGGAAGAATATGTTTGCACATGATATTTCCTATAAAGGGCTAATATCCAAAATATATAAAGAACTCATGCAACTCAACACCAAAAAAACAACAAATAATCCTATTTCAAAAAATGGGCAGAGAACCTGGCTAGACATTTTTCCAGAGGAGACATATAAACATATAGACAGATGAAAAGATGCTCAACATCACTAACCATCAGGGAAATGCCAGTGAAAACCACAATGAAATAGTACCTTACACCAGTCAGAATTGGTAGTATCATAAAGACTAGAAACAATGAGTGTTGGAGAAGAGGTGGAGAAAAGGGATCCCATATGCACTACTGGTAGGAATGTAAACTGGTGTAGTAACTATGGGAAATATTATTGAAGTTCCTCAAAAAATTACAAATATCCTATGACCCAGTGATCCACTACTGGGTATTTACCAGAAGAAAACAAAAACACTAATTTAAAAAGATATATGCACCCTCTGCTTACTGCAGCATTAGCCAAAACATGGGAGCAACCTACTGTCCGTCAATAGATGAATGGATAAAGAAGAAATGGTATGTATATACAATGGAATATTACACCACCACAAAAAAGAATGAAATCTTGCCATTTGTGACAACTGGATGGACATAGAGGGTATTATGCTAAGTGAAATAAGTCAGATAGAGAAAGACAAATACTGTATGCTCTCACATGTGGAATCTGAAAAACAAATGAACAAATAAGAAAAACAGAAATAGGCTCATAAATAAACAACAAACTGGTGGTTGCTAGTGGGGAAGGGAATGAGGGAATGGATGAAATAGGTGAAGGTGATAAAGAGGTATAAATTTCCAATTATAAAATAAATAAATCACAGGGATGAAAAGTACAGCATAGGGTATATAGTTAATAATAGTGTAATAATGTGACAGATGGTAAGTACACTTATTGTGGTGACTATATTAAGGTGTTAGCATTTAAATGGAAACTTGAATGAGGTGAGAGACCTAGATAGTCATTTTGTAATATAATTGTTACATTATTTGTATATAATTACATTTGTATATAATTGTTAAATCACTATGCTGTATATATGAAACTAATACATATTGTATGTCAACCATATTTCAATAAAAAGAGAACTTCAAAATTAAATAATAGGATGTGATACCTATTTCAACTCACAAATTGCTGAATATTAAAAGGAATAATGAAATATTCTTTAATTCCTTAATATATCAAAAGGAATAATGAGAATGATACTAATAAAAACAATGAAAGATATGAAAATACCCAATCTGATTGAGAGTAGGGAAAAAGGCATGCATACATTAGACAGGCGAATTGAGTTCGATTTATACAATGAACTATCATTTACATATTCCAAATGGAAAATTACAGAAAATAGAGCATCAGCTCATTTTGGTAAATAAGTAATTATAAATAAGTTTATATATACTTATAAATTATAACTGTACATATACTGGCATGTAAATCTAGAGGAATCTACACCAAACTGGTAATTTGGGTTACCTAAAGTTACACTTGCCAGGACCTGGGTAATTTTTATGATTTGTGAATTATATCTTTATTAAGATTTTAAAAAGCTAATCATTTTAGTATGTGATATTTACATAAAAAGGTCTTAAGAACATTTTAATATAAAATACAGTGACACAGTAGAAAAACTAAAGTTGGATAGGAAATTTTTAAACTAGCTGATTGGAACCATAGGAAATTGAATTTGCTTCATAAAGTTATTGAATTGCGTGGACACTCATTGTTAGTGTGTGATTAATAAAATGATGCCCACATAGGATTTGCAAATGTTAAATACTATAACTAAAAAAATGAATTCCTTAATTTTCACTGTAAACTGATTGGGGAAACTGAACTTTGGGGAAAAAAGGGAGCAGAAGTTCTTTCTTAATATAATATCAATGATTTTCAAGGTCCAATTAAAATTCTACTTTCTTTAGAATATTGTTTCCTTGACCACTCCCATCCTCACTGATAACAAAAATCCTAGATTCCACTTACTTAACACTTGCTATGCTCCTGAGAATATGTTAAGTGTTTCACAGACCTGTTCAAATGTAATTTTAATAAAGCCTGAGAGGTAAGTGTGATTAGCTCTATTTAACAGATAAGGAGACAGAGACAGGAAAGTTTAGCAACTTGATCAAGTCACATGGCTATCCCCAGGTTAGGATTTGAAGCTGGAACTGTCGTGTTGCAAAGCCTGTTAATATTACACTATACAAATCCTCCCCTATATCTTATTCCATTTGTGAATGCTAGAAATGAACCAAGAATAATATACCAGAATAATCAGTCTTTTCTAATTATTGCCAAACAAGAGATGAGAAGCCAAAACTATACTGTAGCAGGAGATCCAAATTAGTGTTCTTCAACAACAAAGACAGTATTCTAAGGCACAATTATAGCAACTCATATAATGAAAGGAATTACTACTCTGAGAAGATATATACAATTGTAAGAGCCAACTAGAATATTGAGAAAAGAGTGGAACATGTAATAGTTTAAATCAATGAGTAGTTATCTAGATAAGCTCTTTATTCATGGAGATCACAGCTTTCACTGAGTCTGGATTCTCATGTTTTATATTTCATTCATTCATGTAGTCAGTAGTTACTTATTGAGCACCTACTATGTGCCAGTTGCTGTTCTAAGCATTTGAGATACACCAGAGAACAGACTGGACAAAAATCCCTGCCCTTAAAAAATAATAATAACAACAATAAGGAATATACATACTAAAAAGAAAAACAAAACAAGAAATATCACCAAAAGAAATCCTTGACCTTATGGAGTTTATATTTCAGTGGGAAAGACAGACAAATAATCATCAGGTGAGGCTAAGTGCTGTGAAAAGAAATAAGAAAGGCAGAGAGAAATGAGGGCTGGTGTTTAAATGGGGGCCAAGTAAAGCGTCTTTGAGATACTAGCATTTAAGTGGAGATTTGAATGAAGTGAGAGACCTAGAGAATGAATCATGTGACTATCTGAGGGGAGAGCAACCTAGACAAAGGAAGAGCAGGTGCAAAGACCCTTAACTTGGTTCGTCCTAGAAGAGCAAAAAGACCAGTGAAAAGGCTGGGTGGGGGGGCGGAGATAGCAAGGGCAGAGCGGTACCCTACAGGAAAGCAGAGAGGAAGTGGAACCTAATATCAGTCTTAGATTTTGTGGCTTTTTCTCTAAAGAAGGGAGACCAATTAGGAGGCTACTGTAATTATCCAGGTGAGAAATGATGGGTTGAGAGCAGTACAGGGGAGGAGAAAGGGTTGGGTACTGGATGTATTTTGAAAGTGGGACTGGGAGGATTTACTGATGGATTGGGAAGTAGGGTGTGAGATTGGTGTGAGGTGTGAGAAATCTTTGTGTTAAAATGCTAGCTCATTAACTTTGGAGGGAAAAGCCTTCAAAGTCTTCTGCGGGCCTGGCTCTTGTGTGTACAAACTATTTGCCCTTGGAGGTTAAGTCAATAGGAGTCACTAAAAATCTGACTACTAAGAATAGGAAGAAATGAGTGACGAGCCTTCTGTTCAAGCTGGTTCTTGTTTGGGAGAGGTTGCCAAGTTAAACAGTGGTTGTGGGAAAAGAACAAATGCCCTTTCTAATGAACTATTTCAAGTTTGTCAAGGAGAGGTGAAAGAATAGATTTTGATCAAGTGTTAAGAAGTTTCAGGGCTGGGCGCATATTGTAGGACCCAGCCGAGGTTTCTCCTGAGGTTTTCAATTTCTTGCTATTTTTCCCTTTCGTTCCCCACCCTCTCCTTGGCCCAACTTCTAGGCTGCAGGAAGGTACAATTTTCCATTGGTTCTCGAACTTGGAAGGCATCTGAATTACCCAGAAAGTGCCTGTGACACAGATTGCTAGGGCCCCCTCTCAAGTTTTCAGTTGGGGTGCAGTGTGTGTGTGTGTGTGTGTGTGTGTGTGTGTGTGTGTGTGTGTGGTGTAGGTAGAGAGGAAGGGAGCTGAAAAGTTGCATTTCTAACAAGTTCTTAGGTGATGCTTGAGAAGAACTGTTGCTTTGGGGACCGGAGAGTGTTCAAAGCCATGGGATCTTGGACCCCTCGTGGGATGCGAGGGGGCAAAGCTCTAGCTCCCAGAGCTTTCCAGTCACCAGGGAAACTGCCCACTTACCCCAAGGCCTTTCTCAGCTGCTTGCCACGGGTGAAGATGAGAAGCCAAAGCCGGCGCAGGGAAGGGGCGGGAGGGCCTTCCAGGCTGGCCGTCCCCTCGGAGCTGCCCGGGGCCGCGAGGGCGGGGAGACAGCCGGGAGCCAGCCCACAGATCCTCCGAGGGCGCGGGCCTGGAGGAGGCGCCCCAGGGGGCGGCGCCTCTCGGAGGAAGTTTGCGCTCGGGCTGCGGAGCCCAGTCCTCCGTCTCCGCCGCCTCCGGGAGCGAGCGGCGTGCGCCCACGGGAGCTGTCCGGCCGCGCGCGGTGCGGGCCTGGCCGCCGCGCTCAGCCTCGCCGCACCGGCGCCATGGGCGGCGCGGCCTCCAGCCAGCTGGACGAGGGCAAGTGCGCCTACATCCGAGGTACGCCCGCCGACCCCGGGGCCGCGCTGCCCGGCAGGGGATCCACGTCGGGGCGGCGGCGGCGGCCCGGCCCTCCCTCCCCGCTCGCCACCTGCCCGCGTTCTCCCGGCGGGGAGCCGCCCGCCCGCTCCGGCCGGGGTGGGGCTGCACCGCCGTCGGCTGCGAGCGGGCCGGGGCTTTGGGGAAGCGCCGCAGCGGGAGAGGCAGGTGCGGGCCGCCGGGCGGGGCAGCACCCCTGGCCCACGCCGCGCCCGCCGGGGGTCTGTTCTGCCGCCCCCACGCCCCGCCCCGCGGCCCCACACTCCTCGCCCTCCTGTACCTGGCGCAGCACTTAGTTCCGAGCTCTTTGTGAACTGGCCGCAAAAACAAGAGCGGGGATATCCCTCGTTTCTAGAGATTCCCCTGGGGATTCCCGGCCTATAAAGCAGAATTTCCCTGCCGGTAACGTTGGCCTGGTTTTGAAAAACGCGGCGTCTGCCCCGGCTTCACTGGAACTTGGTATCACTTGTGGGATGATTTCATCAGAGCAGAAAGGACCGTGTCACTGCGCTCCCAGGTTCTACGGTTCCCTTCCCTCTCCTGAGAAGGGAGAAGGCAAAAGAGGAACATCGGCATGTTTTGTAACAGTTGCTAAAGTTATAAATGGGGAAAAACTCTTTTTGGGAGACTTGCAGACATATAGTAACTCAGTAAAGATGTGAGGTAGAAGAAAAGAAACCCAAACTGAACTGAAACTGCAGATAATCAAGGCTGTTTATCTCCTGGGTGTAGCTGATCTCTCCTTCCCAGCAACCATGCCCTCCCGCCACTACCTAGCGTTTGGTTATCTTGTGAAGTTAGTGCTTTGTTTTCTGGCTTTAGAAATACCGTCTAAACCAAGCATTAAACTCGAGGCATAAAACCCTAGTTCTGTAAAGAAATGGTTACGTTCTTCAAAAGCGACCTCTTTCTGGTCCCTGAATCTTTTCATCTGAGGAGAGCCTTTTCCCCTAGTTGTTTACAGCCCCCACAACATTTAAAACTATTTCAAAAGAATATCAAATCAGGGCACTTGAGAGCAATATAACTGCTTTTCCAGATTCCTGCTCTGGTGCTTTCAGAGGTAGAAGATGAACAACCCATCCTGTCGGGATAAAACTTGGTCAAGTATCCCTTTGCTTCTGTTTACTTGAAATGGGAAAAAGATGGATGGCTTATTTATATTAGTAAAAGAGCTAAGCTAAGCCTGTCTTCGTTTTACAAACTTGGCTATAAGGTTGTCATTTTCACCAGTGCGTAGGGGATTGAAAGAGCAATGTAGTAGAACATAGCCACAAGGGGTTTGCATTTAGTTAACAGCGAAATATATTTATGGCATTTATTTTGTAAGACTTTATTTCACTGAAAGGCTTAGAAGCACCTGAAGTTGAAGCATGGCCATCTACAGTAATTACTGGAAGCCAGCCATGGGAGGGATTCATTTGCTTGCAGAAGACTATACGGTCACGACAGTTGTTGATGATGCAAGCATCATACTCATGTGCACGATGAGGAAACGTATTACCGTTTTTATTATGAATTTCAATTATTACACATGCAAAAGCATGAGATAGCTAGTGTACAGGAAGGACTTGTAATGAATGCATTCTGAATGAATAAAATGATAGCAGATCGTGTGACCCTGTCTAGTCTTGTTCAGTTTTATCTCCTTTATTTGGGAGGGCACTTTCAAGGTAGGAAGGGGTGGAGGGATGAGAAGGGTTAAAGTTTGAATACCTCCAGAGAAAATGAGACGTTGCCTCATTTGAGAATACTAGTCTTGCCAAAAGAGAAAAGAGCATTGGAAAAATTCATGGTGTTGTGAATTGTTAGTGCATGAGCAAATGAAGGTCATAAGGCTGTGATTTCCTGATGGTTTCTAAGCCCCAGATCTTTGGGGAAAAAAAACTATAGCCATATCTTCACTGCTTTGCCCATCCGTTAGCCCATAAATATTTTCATGATTTGATTGTAAACAGAACAATTAAAAGTGTAATGGTAAAGTGTAAATCAATTTTTGATCTGTTTCTCATAAAGTAGGTGCCAGTGAAATATTATAGATTTCAGAGCTCCTGTAGCTGACAGTAACTTAGAGAAGCTTCACTAACATATGGAGAATAGCTAGTCAGTATTTGGAGTAAGTTTTGTTGATTTTGTGTGTAGTTATAAGCAGCTGTACTTCTTGTATGCTAATGACTCTGGGGCAGCATTTATAACTACTGCCGTTCAGTTTGTGTGCCCCAAACTTTGTGTTAATAGTGATCTTCATCACATGGATGTTTTGAAAGTGCATCGCTTCTTAGGATTTAGTACATCTCCAAGTAAAAGGATATCAAAAGTGTTAAGGAGTTGCTTCATTTCTAAACATGTTAGCTTTGAAAACTGCTACCACGCTCATGTTTCTTACAACAGACTAAACTTTTAGGATTGTTTCTAGAAGACTTTCAGTAACTTCCCTTGATAAGATAGGCATGTCTATTAATACATAATCCTGAGACCAACTTGTAATCACATGGCCTGTGTCATCTGTTACCCTTCCTTTAATGAGAAGCAAAGCTCATATAATAATCCAAGCATCAGTGGTCAATTTAGGGCATATTTTTCTTTTTTATGCCTTGTTTCCATTTTCTTTTTTAAGCTTTTTATATGCCTAAAAGCAAACTACAGCTTCAAAAATGTTATAGCTTTACAATGTGAACTATAGCTTACAGTGTTTTCCTGTTTAAGCAATCATTTTATTTCCTTTTCAAAATTAACATTGAATGGTTAGTGAATCAAAAGAAAACAAACCTGAAAACTCTCCCACATGAATCCTGTGGAAGGCCAGGAAAGTATTGGAAAATCAGTGGTGTGGCTGAGGCCTGTGGGGTACACAGGTCCAGGGTTGGGGGGCTGGTGGACACCTCTAAGCCTAGTAGCAGCAAATAGCAGTTAGGAAAACTTTCTTTCCCTAGATTTACTTTTGCATAATCAGTCACAGCCTGTAATAGGTCCAGTGGCTCTTCTGAAGTAATCATCGGTGATGTGATGCTTATAAAGTTAAGAAATGAGTTTGATTTAAAAACATGTATTTCTCTCAGGAGAATTTCCTCATATTTATACTGGAAGGCTTAACTTATGTGGCTGAATGTGAAATTTCTGCCAGTAAGTGTCTGGAGTGAAGTTTCCATAGACAAGGTTCGTGGAGGATAGGGAGAGCAGGCATGTTGGCAGCCTGCTCAACCTAGATATGTACTAACCACACATTTGCTTATTCTTCAGTCATAATTTGCTGGGCGTAGGAGATGGGCATAAGAACTGGTCTGATTTATCTCAATCACGATGTCTAATTTTAGACTACAATTTATCTGGCTATTAATGGCAGTGTATTAGGTAGGATATGGAGTGTGGTAGACACTGTTGGAAGCCAACCTAACATGCTCTCCCCATTCCTCTTTCATAAGAGACCCCCTGTTTTGTTTGAGTACTGAACCTTCTCCGCGTAGCCCTCTGTTTTGGAGAAGCGAGCCCCGCCTGTGGCTTCTCAGGGGTGGGTGCTGATGATGGCCATGCCTGTCTTCCTGGTGTGTTCTTGCTATTGATTGTGATGCAGGCTAGCCAGTGGAGCTCGGAGGGAAGTATCTGGGCCGCCTCTAAGAAAGTTTTCTTCCTTTTTAAAAAGGAGTCGTTGCATCTGAATGTGATGCCTCAAACTGCAGTTTTTATCTTGATGAGGAGGAGGGGAACCAGCTTAAGGACAGAGCCAACACTTGGAACACTGCCAGGCTGGGTGGTCTCTGAGGAGAGGAGTTGGAGCCTGACATACCTGGCTGATCTCCCTTCCCTGATCCTGAGCACTTCTTATTATGTGACCTACTAAATCCATTTTGAGTTGGGGTGATAGAGACTGCTGGTTATCCTGCAATATCACTCTCCCCTGCTTTTAAAAATAATAGAACCTCCAGATATTAGCTGGCCACACATAAAGGTATTTCCCAGCCTCCTTTTCAACTAGATGGGGTCATATCATTGTATTTTGGTTAATGGGACATAGGTCAAAGTGCTGTATGCTATTTCCAGAAAGTGGCCTTAAAGAGAAAGGGTGTGTGCCCTCCTCCTTTGTCCCCTATTCCACACTGCTGACAAGACTGTAAACATGGCTGGAGCAGCCATCTTGGGCCATGAGGTGTCTGTCCTTTTTAAAGAGCTCACACACAGTGCAGGAAGAGCACAAAGAGCCTAGGTTCCTGGGGACTCCATGTAGTAGGATCTTCCTACTGGCCCTGGACTACTTATCTCTGGACCTTTTAATAAGGGATAAAATTATATCTTATTTAAGCCAGTGTTGTCTGTGGTATTACTGTCATCTACAGACAAATCTTATCTTAACTAATGTAATTGTCTTCTGTTACTTGTGCCTCAAAGCATCATAACTTCTGAATGCTGTTTTATTGGGGCTCCTATAAGAAAAATTAATCCAAAGAAGGTAGGAAGTGGATAAAGATGATGTCATTAGTAATTGTCTCAGTTCCTAATTTGTACAAACGAATGGATTCTCCAAAGGAGGGAGAAAATGCAGCTCCCCAGGTGGGACTAGCAGGGATGGGAGAAAGAAAAAGGAGAGGGCCCCGTGTAAATAATGCACAAATGTATATTGATCACATCATATTTTGATGCAAAACTACCAGAGAAACTAGTAGGAGTTTCAAATTAGGAAAACCATTATTGCAGATTGGAAATTTCTAGGGCACCAATTACTTGCTATTTCCTTCAGTCTGTGTGAAAGGATATGAAGACTTTGGGAAAATTAGTCTGAATTCAGAGTTCCTTAGATACATCAAAAATAAAGACACTAGACTGAGACAAAAACACATTTCTCCTGTACTTTTGGAAGAAAAGTGACCTTCCTTCTTAGGTCCCTTAATGAACCTCTTGGAGCCATGCTAAATCACGATCTGATCTTGAAGAAACACTCCTTTCTTTCTTTCTTTTGATTTTTTTAA